GCGCTTTCGTCGAGCGCGATTTTGTCGTCCGCGGTTTTGACGGGTCACGATTAAAATAAGGTTCCATACAATTTTCATGATGACTGGAAGTATTGTTGACTAATGTTTACAATTAATACAAATTAAAAGATCAATAATAGACACATCTAATGATTAGGCAGTGAATTTACACCCCTTGACTTCTTCATGCAAAACTTTATCACTAAATAAGATAATTCAAGCAGATTTAAAAACATACAAATGCCTGAAGCCGCAAGCATGAAAACAGTAAATACAGTTTTTTCAGTGGGTCTGGAAATAAAACAGTCAACTGTATTTGGGCAAGGAAAATCAGTGCATTTCACTAGCCGAGGCATTTGATATCCTCTGTATATGTAGTAAAATATGTACGTGAAGGCTACCTCAAAGATAATTCGGAAAAAAATGCTAGTAGTGTATGTCCACCACAGGGGACCCTCGATATGAAACCTTTGTGTTTTGCGATCTACGATGTCCATCTTCCTGCATTCCTTTTTTTCCTTATGTCTTCTGTATGCCACATGCATGGCCACCAACAGAGCAGGAGTAGAGACAAAGATAAGTTGGAGAGCCCAAAGTCTAATGTGAGAAATCGGGAAATGCTCATCATAGCAGACATTTTCACATCCAGGTTGTTTGATATTACAAGTGAAATCTTGCTGTTCGTCTCCCCAGACCTTTTCTGCTGCAACTACAAGAATCATGACACAGAAAATAAACAGGACAGTGAGCCAGATTTTCCCAATGCTGGTGGAGTGTCTGTTGACCCCTCCTAAGATGGCTTGTAGGGCTCCCCAGTCCATAACCGAGTGTGTCCTTTAATCTATTAAGACAAAAATAATATGCCAATTTATAAGTAGCTTTATTCCATCATAAAAGTTTCATGGGTTGAAATCTTCTATATCCTTATTATTAAACATTTCTACTCTAATAGGAAATAACACCGTTTGGATTTCTTTTTTCCGTTTCTTCTTTTTCTATTCCATGGAAGGGAAAATAGGACAATAGAAATAGTTACACTGTATTGGTTCAAATGATTTATGCAGGGGTTTACAATTTTTAAAAAAACATAAAAATGATGATCACTGTACCTGATAACACCACACAGGATATACTGTATGCACAAATAGGGAACCCCCGTATACGAATACAGCTCGTCTGCCTGGAATCCGCACTGTATATCGGATATTAATAGAATTGAGAGAATCCAGAGGTATTTCACGAGAAGAGTACTCCACTCCTCTACTCACAACAGAATACCCTATGCTACCAGACTTGAAATTTTGGGCTTAGAGAGCCTACGGCCTACGGTCTGACCTAAGCATAGTACACAAAACTATCTGCTACAAAGTCCTACTTGTCAATGACTACTTCAGCTTCAGCCACAATAATAC